ATGGATTGATGCATTATGTCAATATCTTCGACAAAATAATCATGCAAGTCAAAGAATGAAACAAATTCAGTGGTGGTTTATTGGTGGTGAAGAACTATTTAGTTCAACAATCCAACAGCTATTACCATTTATTCATGATGAATGTCATCTTTTGAATACATATGGACCAGCAGAGATAACAGAAACAGCAACATGTTATGAGATATGTCGTGAAAAACTTTCTCAAATGATTTCAATTCCAATTGGTCGTCCATTGTATGGTTATGATATTTATGTTGTTGATGAATATCGACAAGAAGTTATACCTAATCAACAAGGTGAAATAGTTATTGGAGGTGAGATGATATGTGATGATTGATATCAGATGTTTTTCTTTTGTTCATACAGGTGTTGGCGTATTTGATGGATATTATGAACGAGAAGATTTGAGTGAACAAGTGTTGATTGACATGAATGGAGAAAAGTGCTATATGACAGGTGATTTTGGTCGAATCGATGGTGAGACAGGTGAACTAATATTTATGGGAAGAAAAGATTATCAAATAAAACTTCGTGGACAACGTATTGAACTTGGTCAAATCGAACATAATATAATGAAGTTTTCATCACTTATATCAGGTTGTATTGTAATGAAACACACATATCATGAACAAGAACATATTGTTGCTTATGTTGAAACGACATCAACTAGTGTGACTGATGTAGAATTACGTGAAAAATGTTTATCTACTTTGTCATCATATATGATACCATCAATGTTTATTATTTTAGAAAAATTTCCACTGTCATTGAATGGCAAAATAAATCGTAAAGCTCTACCTACACCTGACTTTATTTCGTTCCAAAAATTGATAAACGAAGATATTGAATCAATGAGTTTGATGGAAATGCGTATACATCATTTATGGTGTGATGTGTTGCATAGGAAACGCATCTCCACCAAGATATCTTTCTTCTCTCTTCATGGTACATCGTTGTTATTCATGAAACTATACAATTTATATAAAATAGAATTTGGTACAGCTCCAGATATAGTCTCATGTCTTCAGCAAGCATCTATCAGTGAACATGCTCGACTTTTGACAAAAGCTATTACTTCAATCTCGAATCCACATTATCAATCATGGTTCTCTCTCCATGCTGATCATGGGGAAGCATCATTTGCTCAATCTCGAATTTTTCTTGATGAAAAAATACGATTTCAATCTTCGAATAAAAAAACAACTGCTATTTACAAT